ATGTTTTGCCAAAGAGGTATTGAAGGCGACCGACTATTGGGCACATTTGAACCCGAAGATAGTGCCGAACCGGTGGCCTATGGACTCGTACACCCCATTCAGAGTTATAATCCATTTTACCTTCAATTTCATCACATGATTTCAATTGTCAACAAAATTTACAACACAAACGATTGGAATGAAAGACTGTGTTATATAATAAAAGGACCTGGATGGTCACCCGGCAAATCTAGGCTTGGTCATTTGGATGATGTGCCAGTTGTTAGTATTAATCACTTATAAGTTATACTTTATAAGCAATTAATGGCAATCAATTAAACCCATCAGATTGAACACCCGGTGGAATATTGGTCGCCTTCAATACCTCTTTGGCAAAACATATACTGTATCTCTCACTTCGGTTTAGTTCTTGTTTTTTATCATTTATTGATCAATAATCACAAGAATTTTAGTCAAATAGCCGTTTCTTATTGTATACTTATATTACTATTTTCGATAACAAGTATCGGTTTTTTGCTCGAAAATCGCAAATATTCTCTTCATTTTGAATGTTTCAGATGTCTATCATTTTTGTATTTTTATACCAAATTCTTGCCGTTTGTATTGACGCCTGATTTTGATTTTAACTCATTATTGCTTATAAATAAGTTTTTCATGTTATCATTTGTCTTTTCGGCCTCTATTTGTGCTATACTTATATTCATTCAAACAAAACCTTTTGTTCCTATTGCTAGACATTTATATGAAATCACACATAAAAGTGGTTATAAGTTTAATTTTAATTTTAGAGGCATTAAAAGCGACTAAACATAAAAATATATACATTTGTATATTATGTAATTTACATGTATTAATATTACATTGTCTTATAATTACTGTAAGTCAAGCATAACTAAAGTTATTAGAGAGCATCAAACTATTGTTTATAAACTTTTTTTTCAATACACACAGTATTTTCAACTATTGTTAAAAAAATAATGTTCTTTGAAAATTACATTTACATTTGTAAGTATTCTTTAAATATTCCTAAATTATTGATAATTTTACTCAACTTTTTGTCAATAATATAATTATTGTATTTTTGATTTACTATTTGTTTTTACAATGAATATCTGTCATCAATTGTTTCAAAAGATTTGTCTACAAATTATAGTGTATTTCATACAATATGACGACAAAATTATTATAATGTTTTGGGAAATTACAGACACAGTTGTGCCCCTAATTATAGTTAGTTGTTTCTAGATAAATTGGGCAGTCATTCAGTATACGATTTTCTATTATTCCCAACTCTTACAGTATATTTTATTATGAAAACTTTTCACTATCCACTAAAATAATAATGTCTGTAATTAATACATTAAAGTATCCCATAATTATTTTATCACTTTTTAATAAAAATTTCATTCTTAAATTTGAGTCAAACCAACTAAATAGACACACATTTAATACTATAATTCGGGGAAAATAGCAATAATTAGTTTTTATTTATGTTAATACAGTCTAATAATTTCATATACATATAAGAATCTGGTTTTAAATTTGTAAATTATATCTAATTATATTTACGTGAATACTTGTACAGTATTTTACGTGTATTTTAGTGCACAAAACAGTACAATAATTGGTAAAAATTACTCAAAACTAATAACAGTAAAGGTAACACAGAATCCTATTTATTATAATACTTTTACAATTATTAATAATAAACTTTAAAACAAATAATTTTTAATTTTAACAAATTTTATAACTTTTTAATATACCTGTAAATCAGGTAAAACACTATTGTTTTTCTATTGTGTATAAATTGTATGCATTGAATAATAAAGCAATAAACGAGAGCAACACTTGATATTGATTTATATCTACTCTCTTATGGTTAGCATTGGGTATAAAACAGTGAATTGTGTTTTACTGTTGCATACAATCGATCCAATTATTCAAAGCTGAATATTCAGCACAACATCGAGTATATGAGAGCAGAGAGAGTGAGTGAAACACAATTTCAATGTCAAAATCCTATTTCAATGAATTGAAGTCAAGGTTTGCGCGAATGAAGGCCTAATTCTCGCTGGTCTTCCGATGTCAAGGCTTAGCCTTCAAAGTCTAGGTTACGATCTATTTATTGTTGGGAAGATGTGTCGCTCCGGCCTTCACCTACAAGTCTATGCACACACTTTCAATGTCTGTCAAATCGATTTACTTTTACACCACTTCACTATTTCTGTCGTTCAACACAGCATTGGATGCGAGCCGTCGATCGCACACTCAAACTGACGGCACATATCGTACATTACATTTGTGTTAATAGTATTGCAACTATTTTTATACCTCAATACTATTCCTCACTCTTCTCATCATTCAGTATAATATGCTCTCTTGTGTTATATGAATGTCTTTAAGGGTTTTGCTATATTTTTATATTTAATATAATTATTTTCATTAAATACTGGTTTCCAATAACTTTACTGTAACTATTGGGAGTATTGTTTATAATAAACAAGCGTTTTCTACATTTATAAAAGTAGCTTAAAAAAGTATTTTTAAGCAGGTGAATATGTTCTTATAACTATTATGTGGATATATTTTAAGTAATTTTTAATTTCAATAATAATTTAAATACAAATTTTAAAATAAATTTTTATTTAGTTTTCAAGATATTAATTGTAAGTCATTTTGAAAATTAATTTATCTAGGTTACGATCTATTTATTGTTGGGAAGATGTGTCGCTCCGGCCTTCACCTACAAGTCTATGCACACACTTTCAATGTCTGTCAAATCGATTTACTTTTACACCACTTCACTATTTCTGTCGTTGAACACAGCATTGGATGCGAGCCGTCGATCGCACACTCAAACTGACGGCACATACCGTACATTACATCTGTGTTCATAGTATTGCAACTATTTTTATACCTCAATACTATTCCTCACTCTTATCATCATTCAGTATAATATGCTCTCTTGTGTTATATGAATGTCTTTAAGGGTTTTCGCTATATTTAATATAATTATTTTCCTTAAATAATGGTTTCCAATAACTTTACTGTAACTATTGATAGTATTGTTTATAATAAACAAGCGTTTTTCTACATTTATAAAAGTAGCTTAAAAAGTATTTTTATGCAGGTGAATTTTAATGTTTAATATTGATAATACACCTATATAAAATTCATTAAAAATTAAAGTTATTATTAAATTTATGTTTAAAATTTTATTTAAAAATAAATCAAAAGTTCTATAATTAACATTCAGTAAAACTTTTAATTAAAACAAAAATAAACTGATTTTATATCAAATGAGTTTAGAAAACCATTATATTGTGTGATTATATTATATAAAATGATATAAAGGTTTAAACGATATTATAATTTAAAAAACAATACTTATTAAATAAATATTGTGTGTCTTATGTTTGATTTACACAATTCTTTGTAGTTTTCAATTGAATTCTTAAATTCAGTTCATAATAACAATCAAAATTCATATTAATATTCTCTTTGACTATAAATGTAAAAATTTGGCAAAATTTAGTGTTGCTTTCGTTTGGCATTTCTATTGACTCCGTTCGCAGTTTTCCTGTGTTTTTGTTGTTTAGTCTCAGAATATTCTCGATTGTCTTCAACCCTTGTTTTTCCGGTCACGATATTAATTAATATTCTAACCATAAACTGTATTAATTATATTCAATTAGTATTGTATTATATAATGAAACATTTGTCGGAATATTCATACCGAAAACCAATAGACATCCATCGCTAATATAACCCAAAGCAATGAATACAAAACAAACATAAACGGGAATTTGCTATTATGTTCACTGAAATATTCGGAACTCGAGTAAATTGCTTTCAATGGAAACCAATATAAGCGACAAATTGCCCTAAAATATCATTACAATCATATAATTCGCAATTTAATGAACAACTCATTGAACACATACCACGAGCCGAGGAAAAGTAGAAAACCGATTCCACTTAATATATCGAAAAACTTTCCCATAAAACCGCCGATCGATTTGAATGTTAGCAGACATTTAGTCGCTTCCATTATGACATCGCATCCATCGTGTAATAGCAGCACAACTATACCCACTCTATGAGCTCTGGACTCAACAAAATATACTTTAGATTTTGTTTATATTATACTGATTTTAAATTAACAAATATGAATACACACTTTGCGGCCAACGATAATGAGAGCAACGCTATTGTGATGATATGATGGGTAAACATAACCAAAGTATCTTTTCGCCATTCGTCCAGAAATATGACGGCGTATACGGAGTGGATGTAGAAACTAATTTCAATCAAGTATAGTATCCGTACGTTTCCGGGGATATGATGATGTGATGGGTAAACATAACGAGAGTATCCTTTCGCCATTCGTCCAGAAATATGACGGCGTATACGGAGTGGATGTAGAAACTAATTTCAATCAAGTATAGTATCCGTACGTTTCCGGGGATCACGTCGTCAATTGAAAAATCTGAGCATTTGTTCAAACAATTTGTTAGAATTTAAACTTACAATAAGAGTTTTATCACATGACATACCTTTCCAAATAAGATCTCTTCGGCTGAAGTAATCGCAACAGTTTTGGACAAATAAAAGGTAAACGACAAATGAAAATGTGAACAAATAGTAGAAGAACTTCCAGGCGCTCTCCGGGTATTTTTGGACATCACTTTTGGACATTCGGCACAAACGCGCGAACGGCTAGTATTTGGTGTAAATGTATGCATAAATTTGCATCAATTGACAAACAATTATAAATATTACACAATTAGTCTAATTGACAAGAATATGAGAAAGAAATACTTTACAAAACTAACACTTATATCGCGTTTTACATTTTCCTAATGTAGTGAATATTATTAAGCATAAGGTTTTGAAATAATATTTTTCTAACACAATTTGCCAGAAATGGTGACAATACAGTAATTTTTGGAAAATTACTTTTTTAGATAAAACAAATCACATATTAATTGAGAAACAAAATAATACCGTAAATAAGTATTTAGAAGCACTGAATCGGCCGATCGTCCAAACGAGCGCTAATATCAATACAATGGC